CACAGTTGTAGGAAGTTGCTTGATCTCAGAGATGGATAACCTCAAACAAGGGATGGCAACTGCTTTGGACTTCTGGACAAACAGAGAAGCAAAGCTATACCTGTGGGTTCAGTTCAACCTGTATTTACTGAGTATATTCCAGGCCTGGGGCTCTGGGTACAAAAATAAACCAATCACAGTTCCTCAAGAAGCTGACTCTCTAGAAGTTGTAGGCAGAACTGGTGCATAAGGAAGAAACCAAAAGACGAAAAATAGGCAGAAGGAACAAAAAAGATGGAATGCACACACGGAAACAGGGCCGGTCACTGAGACCCACCCTCCTGGCTTATATTGTCCTTCTTGGGCTGCTCCATGTCAGTTTCTTCCTCTAGAAGGCTCCTGCTCCTCCTCTAGTCAACCCTGAGGTCTGTGGGGCCCTCTCTTTCTCCCCTGGACAGCCTCAGACCCTCTCTCGGTTCTTGTAAATGACCTAAGCTGATGATTCCCAAATCTCTTCCCTCCAGCCTGGATTCTCACCTGAGTTCCAGTCCCACACATCCATCTATCTGCTCAACATCTCCCATTGCCATCTAGCTCAGTATTCCCAAAACTCAACTCACCACGTGCCTCTCCCTGGTTCCCCTCAAACCTGCTCCTCCTCTTACATTTCCTCTCTCAGTTACAGTCCCCACCACGTCCTGAAAACCTGAGTGTCTAATAGACCCCTTGCTAACCCTTTCCGCCAATACTTACTTGGTAGGTCTCTCTGTTAGTGACTGAATTATGTCCCCAAAAAAGACATATTGATATCTTAACCCCCAGTGCCTGTGAACACATGAAGCCATCCTGGAGTAGAAAACTCATAGCCATCGAATTGATTCCAACTCATAGTGACCCCCACTGGGTTTCTGAGGTGGTAATAAGGAAGTAGATTGCCCAATCTTCCTTCCATGGAATGGGTTCTGGTTAGCAGTCTGATGCCTTAGGCACAATGCTACCAGAGCTCCTCTCCTGGAATAGGGTGGGCCCTAATCCAATGTAACTGGTGTCTTTATAAGAAAAGGAGAGAGATGAGTTATGCTGCTACAAGCCAAGGAATGTCTGGGGCTACCAGAAACTGGAAAAGGCAAAGAAGGATCTTTCCCATAAGATTTGGAGGAAGCATGGCCCTGCCAACACCTTGATTTTGGACTTCTGTTCTCCAGTACTATGAAAGAGAAAATTTTTGTTGTTTTAAGCCACTCAGTTCGTAGGACTTCATTACAGCAGCCCTAAGGAAGGCTCACTGCCATCAAGTTAATTCTGACTCACAGCGACCCCTGCTGGGTTTCCAAGGCAGTTAATCTTTATGGAAGTAGATTGCTCCATCTTCCTTCCACAGAATGGCTGGTGGGTTTGCACCACCTACCTTCTGGCTAGCAGTCAGATGCCTTAGGCACTGTGCCACCGGAGTGCCTTAGAACCGAAGACAGATTTGAATGTCTCCAGATCTAGCCACTTTTCCTCATCCCTATCCAAATCCAGATGGCCACCAACTGCACCAAAATGACTCTTCTCTAATCATTCTCTGGAGAGACTTTTCTTGGCAAAACAATCGTAACACACCATCATTTAAAAACCCACTACTGTAGATGGTGTCCTGCTAGCACACCCGACATCCCTGAATGGGATCTGAACAGGAGGTCCTGGATAGAGTGGGAGAAAAATGTGCAACAAAACTCAAAATACTAAAAAGGATCAGGCTCACTACTCTGATACAGACTATGGCCCTTCACACCTTTGAAGCCTGGAGGGGAACTCACCCCTGTGGCTCAACTTTCACCAAACAACAGACAGGCCAATAAGGTAACAATAACATCTGGGAGGTGGCACCCCTCAGAACAATCAACATATGAGATCAAAAAGGTCAGTATTTGGCCAGAGAAAGCTCAGAAGGCAGGAAGCGATAGAAAAGAAGGATGAATGGAAAAGGGAAACCTATGGAAGAAGTGGGAAAAGTGCTATCACACCCTGGGGATTATAATCAATGTCATGAAACAAATGGGTATCAATTGTTGAATGGAAAACCAACTTGTTATATAAACTTTCACCCAAATCACAATAAAAAGTTAAAAAAAAAAAAAAAATTGGCATCTCTATTACCTTCAGGATAAGTCTATAAACTCTTTAACAAAAGCCCCACCTTATGTGGCCTCAATTTTCTGCTTTCTTACTCAGCACTTCAGCCTCCAGGCAGACCAGCTGTTTTTGCCTCAAGCCACTACTCATGCAGTTACTTTAGTTAGAAATCTTTTCCAACCCTTAAAAAGATTCTCCTGCCCCATCCTTTAGGTCCCAGCTGCGTGATCACCTGTTGGGAGAACCTTTCCCCTTGCTGACCCTCCCTACCGCTTATCGCATCCTCTATTTGCTCTCTCATACCATATATATAGGGAGCTCTGGTAGCGTAGTGCCTGAGGCACTTGACTGCTAACCAGAAGGCTGGAGGTTCAAACCCACAAGCCACTCCTCGGAAGGAAGATTAGGCAATCTATTTCCGTAGTGATACTGCCTTGGAAACCCAAGGAGGGGTTGCTATGAGTCTGACTCGATGGCACAAAACAACCACCACCATATATCATACCTGTTCTCTTGTTGGTATCAACACCAGGGTAAACTTCTACTAGTGAGGACTTACTGTTCTTCAATACTAAATGATCAAATAACTGGATGGTCACCAAGGGTAAAGTTTTATCTAATCCTGACTTGTTATGATCTACATCAGTGGAATTTCCTGTTAGAAATCTAAGATAGAAATTTAAGGAGAATAACCAGTTTCTCCATTTTTCTCTTACCCTAGAACCAGCTAAAGGATCAGAATTCCTTGGTTTAATGATAGCCCTTTTCTTCAAGGCCCATTTTAAATTTAAGACATCATCTGGAATCACCTGTGAGTACTGTACTCCTTTAAATAATCATCTAAGTAAAATCAAACAATAAACACTTATCCTAGACCAAAGATGAGAACATAAGGGGGGGACAGGGAAGCTAGATTAACGGAAGGAGAACAACTACAATGGAATAATGAGAATTCTGAGACATTGTGAAAAATGTACCCAATGTCCCTGAACAATCTGTAAAGACTTTGTTAAGTGAGAACCTAATTTGCTGTGTAAACTTCCACTAAAAACACAGTAAAATATATATCTATGTATACACACTATTCAGAAACAAGAGGTCTCCAATAATTCTTTTACTGACTAAATTTTGAGGCATTTCAGGGCAAACCTATTATCACTGGAAAACACTAGTTACTAAAGCTTACACGTATACATGCACATTAAATCATACCACCACTTTTAAGGGTGTGATACCACTCCACTGTGGTTCAGATGAAGGAACTGGGGCTCAGAGAGGTCAAATAATTTGTCCAAACTCATACAAGCAGATGGTGAGGAAACTAGAATTCAAAATTGGGACAGCATGTCTCTAGAATCTTGGCCCTGTCTACAGTAAATAGTCAGCTTGTTGAATGAATAGAAAGTAAAACTGTACTATGTCAGAATGACCCGTATGGGGTTATATTAGAAAAGGAAGAGTTGAATAATCCAAGATGCATTTATATTTAATTTTGGGCACATTTGGGGGCAATAAGTTTGCATTTTCAAAAGCTCAAAAACTAAACAAAACAAACACCAGTTTCTCCCTGAGCAAGGCAATAAGCTTGGGTCCCACTGCCTACAGCATATATGGGCTGAGGGAACTAGCAGGGAGTCTCTCATATCAGCTTAAAACAGCCCGATCTGTGGCCTTTCACAAAACAAACACACACATACCCCAAACCAGCTGCCATCCAATAGACTCCAGTTAGTAATGGCAACCCCACGGGTGTCATGGTAGAACACCACCTCACGGGGTTTTCAATGGCTGAGATCTTCCTGGAAGTAGATCACCAAGCATCTACTTCCTAGCATTGGTGTCACCCAGCATGGTAGCTCATGGTGTCCCACAGCTCCCCATGAACCTCCTCCTACATACAGGATCCTTAGTAACGTTCATTACCGATTTTAATAGTAGAAGACATGATAAACACAGCTGTAGATTGCTTAAATTCCTAGATTATATGAAAACTAACAACCACTAACAACAAAATTGTTTCGTAATATGTTTCTACAATGAAGTACATTATTGGTTACAACATTGTTAGCAACTGAGAGGAAGCCTTTTTAATTTTTCTCCTTGACTGTTAATTACTACTTCATTCTTAAAAAAGTTATTGATATAGGTTCACAAATATTAATTATCATAATATTGTAACTAAAACACCAAAAACTTGACAAAATCTGTGACTATAAAAACACTGTCAGCAAGAAAACAGCAGCATGTGGGAGGGAGGGGAAATGCAGACAAAACCACGTGATTCAAAGCTTCATTGCTATTGGATAATAATGAAAGTGGGTAATAATGACAGCTGGGACAGAGCTCATCAGAAGGTTCAAAAAGTAAATTAGTATAGAGTTTTAGCCTTCTAGGTATACTTATACATGTAAACTGGGCTTATGAAAAATGTTTTTGTTGTTTTAACTAACTACAGGAATATTTTTATGAAAAGTAATAAACTTGTGCTGAAACACTGCACAGAAGTTGTATAGGCAGTCCTTCTGGTGTCACCTCCTCTGCCAGTGCCACCAATGTGGTCCACACCCCCACACCCACTAGTGGCACCACTGTCACCAGGCCTCTTTCTTTCTGCGGAGTGGCTGGTGGGTTTGAAAGACCAACCTTCCAGTTAGGAGTGAAATGCCTTAGGCACTAGGCCACCAGAGCTCCTTTAAAAAACTCAGGTACTGTTAATTCTCTTACGGGGCACCCTCAAGGGAAGACCTCTTGCTCTATAGCTCTTCCTTCCTTGTGGGGAGGGGGGCTGGCAGGCTCGAGATGACATGTTTTGGGTGCCCCCCATTCCACAGGCCGGAACACACAGCCAGCATGCGTCCAAGTGGCGATGCATGAAGACGCCTGAGGCCACCTCTGCTCCTTACCTCCCGCAGCTCCAGCCTTTGGGCCACAGCCTCCAGGCTCTCCTGGCCAGTGCTCTCCACCGACAGAGTGAATTCCACAAACTCGTTGTTGAGCAGCTGGATCCGCGCAACCAGGCAGCTCTTGCTGGACACCGTGTAGCGCCGGGTGCGTTTCAGTTTCAATCCAAATGGCAGTGGCATCTTCTTCCTCCAAGAGTCCAGGGGCAGCAAGGGAAAAGTACCCCCGCCGATCCAGCGGAGGCGACACACGAAGGACTCGTTCCTGTCTGATGGGATGAGTGCCGTGCAGTCTCAGGCTGCTCACCCAGCAGCCGCTGCCGCCATTAAAAAGCAATCAAGTCTGCAAAGGCCAGGCGAAAGAAGCGTCCACGCCAGCGCTGAGGAAAGAGGCACGCCGGTTACACAGGCAATCTGGCAGCTCTGGACCTGAGTTTTCAAAATACACATCAACAAAGCTGTGTCCTAAGAATAAGCCTTCCCTCTCCTCTGGGAAAAGGAGGCACTGGAGCGGATCCTGGCCGCAGTGCAGAAGCTCAACAGCAGAGCTGGCGGCTTTGGTCCACGCCTCACTCATGCAACACACACTGACGGCAACCACGTGGGCTATTGTCAGTGTTCAATGGGATAATGCCAGGCCTCAGGGCAATGCCAAATCTACCAAACCCCACCCACTGCCGTAAAGTCATCCCAATTCACAGCCACCCTGTAGGACACAGAACTGCCCCACAGGGGTTCCAAGGCTGTAAATCTTTACGCCTGGTTCTCTTCCTTTTTAGGATAAAGGTTTGGTTTGGGATTTTCCCACATTGGGAAAATCCCTATTGGCCTCCCCTGTCAATACTCCAAATGTCAGGGTTCTCTAGTCCTCAAGTGAGATAACAACAAAACCATCCCAAAAGGGCTAGGTTCAAATCCCAGGCCCAGTTCCATTAAGCAAAGGAACCCTGGGACCAGATGGAAGGAATAATTTCCCCCTCACACCTGGCAGCTCTGAGGTTCTAACGAGGTGAAGCCAGCCAAGTATTTGTAGAACCTTTACGGTTTACAAATATTTCCGCCATCAAGTTCATTGACTTGTAAAATCATAAAAGACCCTACACATGCTAGTTATCAGATTACCACTGGCACCGTGGCAGTTCCGAAAAGCGTGGTCCCGGCTCTTCTCCAAGGTGGGGTCACCCGAAGTGGCGGTGGACCTTCACCTAAGATGGGCCGCGGTCCAGAAAAGGCGGGCAAGGCCTTAAACGCCATCCTTGGTAACGAGAGGCGGACGGAGCTACCGAAACCAGGAGCCCAGAGGCGCTGTCCTGCTCTGGCCTCTCTGGGGTCCTCCCCCCGGAAAAGGCAGCGGCGTTGCCAGGCCAACGGGTAGCCTCAAAGGCACCGGAACCCTCCATAAGCGGCCGCGTTTCCGGACGGACGCACTCTGTAGGACCGGCCTCTCTACTCCCCTTTAAAGGGCCCCCAGTCGAGCCTTACGAACTGTGGAGAGGTTGGGTAAGGCCTGTTGAATTCGTGATTTGGAGCCACAGGATCTCAAAATACGCGTTTGCAAGGTTTTCAACCCCACCTGCTAATGGTAACGCCTGTACTGAGGCAAACTGAAGGCGGGCGGTAGCCGGCGGTGAGGGTGGGGTATACCTGGTGGACAACCGCTGCCCCCTTCCCCCACCCCGGAAAAAAAGGAATCGACAAAATCCCATATATTTCCAGAATCTGGTGACGGCTTCCACTCATCCCTTGCTCAAGGCTGCCCCCAATGAGGATTTGTTTTTCTTGTTGTTGTTATGTGCCTTCTAGCAAGACCTCTAACTGCCCTCGAATCATTAGGACTCATAGCGACCCCCATTGGGTTTCCAAGGCTGTAAATCTTTACCGAAGCCGACCCCACAGAGCGGGTGGTGGGTTCCAACCATTGACCTTTTGGTTAGCAGCCAAATGCCTAACCACACCACCACCACCAGAGCTCCTTCTAATGGGGCCTAGCCGTGGCCAATCACCCTGAATTGGGGCCGAGGGTGCAGACAGAGCCTCCGAGGGGGCTGCCTGGGGCGGGGTAGGATCTGCCAGGCAAGCCCTCTTATCTGCCTAACACTGACCCCCAGCTCAGGCCCAGTGGCTTTCTCAGCTTCGCACGCGCATGCGCTGAGCTGGGAATGGGTCCTTCACTCCTAGTCCTCAGAGCTCTCCTGACTGCGTCTCAGCTCCCGCGGTGATAAGCATCAAGGCTGGGGGATGGCAGAGCTGGAAAGTAGGGTTCAGCTATGACACTAGACTTTGCCAAGCTTACTCCATTCCACAAATGGGTATAGTGGGCACTGTGAGAAATCAAAGACAACTCCCAAACCGTCGCTGCCTTTAAGAGGCTTACACCACCAGCACCACCCACTGCCATCCAGTCGATTGTGACTCATAGCGACCCCCACTGGGTGTCCAAGGCGGTGAATCTTTGCGGAAGTAGATTGTCCCATCTTCCTTCCTTGGAATGTTTGAACCGCCCATTGCTGGTCAGCAAATGCCTTAGACACTGCCACCAGAGCTCCTTAAGGAGCTTACAACGATGCTATAATTACCCAGGGAGCACTCTCTCTAATAAAGCTCCCTACACACACATACACACACACACACACACACACGTTTTCTCTCTGTTTTGTGTGTGGGTGTGTGTGTGTGTTTGCTTTTGTTTGTATTTTTGTTCTCTGGTTATTTCCAGATAGCCAGAAAAGGAAAGTAAAAGAAGAAAGGCCACAGGAAAAAATGGAACCAGACAAGTGGTGGGAACCATAAAAGCACTGTGTTAACTAACAGCATTTGCTGAGTGCCTTCTGGTAAAGCACCAGACTAAGTGGGAGCTCTGGTGGCATAATGCCTAAGGCTAACCAGAAGGCCGGCAGTTCAAACCCACCAGCCACTACTAGGAAGGAAGACTAGGCAATCTACTTCAATAGAGATACCCCCTCAGAAACCCAAGGAGTCAGAGTCAACTCCACTCCATGGCAATGAGTGTTTTAAGGAGGGAAATAGAAAATAACTATTGTAAAAAGATGCCATCACCACCTGCATTAGTTTTAACACTCTGCTGTTTCAGGGATACAAACCACATGGACAGGTGAGGCAAAATGAAAAAAGAAAAAGAAATGACAACCTTAAATAATAAGTGTTTAACTAGAAAGCTGCCTGATAAAATAAAAAAAAAAAAAAAAGATTATATCTCCTTAACATCATAAACATGAAATACTTTTTCATGAGGTGAAGTGGTAGGTTTCAACTTTGATATACAAATTGGTGACTGGAAACAGGACAGATTGAGTAGAAGAGATGAAGAAATGAGATTATATGCAGAGGAAAGATAAATATTTCATGGGATGTTCAAATATGGTAGTGTCTTCACTAAAAAGAATCAAGCCTTGGAGCAGTAGATCTTACACTCTATAGCTTAATTATTAACTTGAGCTTTATTAGGCAAACTCAGGAAGAAAACTTTCAGTTGCCTCTGGGATTTGAAATGTATTACAGCTTCAGGTACAAGAAAAAGGCAACGTTTTCTCTACTGAATATATTTTTTTGGGAGGGGCGTAGATGTTATGTCATTGGGAAGTTAGGGTATGTGTGTATCAGTTTCATTTCCCCCATGATACAGCCATGAGAATGGCTTGATTTTTGGTTATGTGCATAAAACCCACTGTGTTAAAATGCTGTTTTGCTTAATACAATATTTACAAAATTATCAATGATTTACTGATCTTACTTTTAAGTTATATGCAATATTTGTTACCAAATGATGTCATAAAGTTATGAGTGTTTGTAATAGTAAAATCAAGAAGCAGAAAGTTAACGTGCTCTTTTGATCTATTTCAAGTATAAAGTAATAGGCAATAATTAAAAGACAGATGAATCTGGAATTATAGTTTATGTAACTACTAAAGGAAACAGATAACTCATAATGTTTGAAGGAAAATGCTAGGCGATACTGTTTCTGTATAAAAACCTTTCCCTTATGTTGTAAGAAGTCAATACACACTCAATTCTGCTTTAGTGCAAGCTTTCGAAAGGTAGTCTGAGCTATTTTGTGAGTAGTTATTTGCTGTCGAGTCGGACCCGACTCACAGCGACCCCTCTGTGGGTTTCCCAGGCGGTATCACTACGGAAGTAGATTGCCCAAGAACATTTTAACTTTCGCCCTCCACAACCTCTTCCCAAAGTTTCTCTAATACACTTTAATCCTGAATTTTGGAGAATATTTCCTGTTGTTGCTAAGGTTCTCACCACGCTCAATTTTGCCAACGTTGCTTTAAAACAAAATAATCACTGAAGGGAGAGAGTATGTGGCACTTCTAGAGTAATACCTAAACCCACAGCACGAAATCAAGCCTATGTTTATCATGGACAGTTTGTGCGGAGATACTCGAGGATAAAATGTCCTAGAAAAAACAGATTTTTCCTTTCAGAGTAAAATTACTGTCATGTCATAAGCTTAAAAAGTAAAATTCTGTCAGCAACTATCAGGCGTACAATGGTTGTCACTTGGAGCACACGAGTTTTTTGTTTTGTTTTGTTTGTTTTTAATGCGTTTTTGAGCATACGCTATTATTACAAGGCTTTCTCAGTCAAAAGGAAAATAGGACGAGCGTGCCAAGAGCGGCCAATCTAATCAGGATTTGTAGAAATCACAAGTCGGAATTTGCAGACCCGAGAATTCTTTTCCAGAGTAAACACTCTTTACTCCAAAAGCAAAATAAGCGTCACCAGTCCCTCCCTGCGCCCCCTCTCGCCCAAGTTATGTGGCAAATTTCACAATTACACATTCCCAGAGGCGCAGACATGCCTCGAACGTCGGGAACCGCGATGCGGGGTTAAGCCGCCGCGATCCTTAGAGGGGCTCGGAACAGCAGCGCACCCACCCACCCCTCGGTCAAGCACTCGTCTCCCAGAAAGAGCTGGAAAAGCAGCCTCTTCTCTTTGTTACGCGCCTGCCGCGGGTCGCACAAGCGACCGTCCTGCGGGACGCCGGGGCCGGCGCCGCGCTCGCGGTCCCC